CCACCAGGTAAATTCTCCAGTCACCAGGGGGTCCAGAATCAGTGAGCATTTGATCAAGAGTCATTACAAAAGGGCTGTCCCCCAGGTGAGGCTAGTAGTGCATGTGGTGGCCCAAGTTATACCTGGTGAATCCCTAACACCTTATAAAGATCTGAATCCATCTCTGGCAGGTTTGATCTGAGCCTAGATTTAGGGGCTCCCAAGGGTGAAATAAACTCACTTCCCGCCAAAACCAGTTTGGCTCAGTGGTAGAGCGTCTGCCTGCGGACTGAAAGGTCCCGGGTTCGATTCCAGTCAAGGGCATGTACCTTTGGTTGTGGGCACATCCCCAGTGGGGGGTGTGCAGGAGGCAGCTGATCGATGATTCTCTCTCATCGATGTTTCTAACTCTCTATCCCCCCTCTCTTCCTATCTGTAAAAAATCAATAAAATATATTTTTTAAAAATAAATAAATAAAAAATAAACTCACTTCTCCTGGTATGCTCTGGCCCCAAATCTGATCTATCTTAGGCGTCCAAGCAGGACCACCTAGACCACAATCTACGCTACACTAGCTGACTAGGGCCCTGTGGGTTTATGCCCATGGTGTGTACTGACTCTCGATTAGAAAATTCCCAAGGAGAAGTCGCCCACAAGAGCCTTTCAGAAAGGGAGCTGGGTAAAGAATACATGGATACAGAGCCCTTGCTCCGGATAAGGAGGCATAAAATTTCACAGCAACCCAAGAAAGGGCATTCCAGTGGTAACCCTCACGAGGCAGAAAGAGATGGGACTAGTTCTTTCTCAGCAATGGGCCGCAGTGAGGGGAAACACAATTGTGGAAATAAATAAAGTATCTCAAGATCTCAATCAACAGGAAAAATCAGGAAAGTTGACAGAGATCTGATAAAAAAAAAAAACATAATTGAGTCACATCACACAGAAGAATCTTGGGAATACAAAAAACAAACAAACAAACAAACAAAAAACCCACATCCAAAACCAGGACCCAAGCCCTGACTCTTTGCCAGAAATGATGAGCAAGCTCCCAAGTGTTTCCTTCTCTCTTGAGCAGCCATCTGTTCATAAAACATGGGCTCAATTTCATTATATTACAATTGGATGCCCTCTTTCCGCACCTCCCCAAAACTACTTTTGCCAAGGTAACCAGTTTTCACTGTTAAAGCTGACTGTTCCTGCCAAAACCGGTTTGGCTCAGTGGTAGAGTGTCGGTCTGCGGACTAAAGGGTCCCTGGTTTGATTCCGATCAAGGGCATGTGCATTGGTTGTGGGCACATCCCTGGTAGGGGGTGTGCAGGAGGCAGCTGGTCGATGTTTCTCTCTCATCGACTTTTCCAGCTCTCTATCCTTCTCCCTTCCTCTCTGTAAAATATCAATAAAATATATATTTTTAAAAATGCTCTGTTCCTCTTATTTCTAGGAAGCCAGATGCAGCCAGTGTCCCTGCTTCCTCTATTGATTCTTTCTGTCCCCTTCCTCAGGGTTCACCCCTCTCCCCAAACTTTAAACCCTGGTGCTCCTTGGAGCATTATCAGTGTCTTCCCTTGTCACTCTGCAGGCTCTGACTCCCAATCTCTTATCTCCAGCCTCACTGTCCAATTTACCCCTTTGGCAAAGGGAGAGGACGCCATCACAACTCTGCTTAAAGACTTCCAGTGCCCAAACCACACCACCATGGTTCTCTGAATAAACTACAAATCTCAACACGTGTCACACAGGTCTTCCCATGACCTGGCCCCTGCTTTCCTCAGCTGCCCCATCTGGCTCCCATGGGCTTCATGCAGTGACTTATAAATCCTCCAATGTGCCATGCTGTTCCCCTCCTGGGCTTTTGCATGTGCTGTCATTACACTTGGAATGCTTTTCCTCCCCTTCTTTTCTTACTTAACTTCCTTGGGATTCAAGTCTTGGTTCAGTAGTCTACTTCCTCCAGGAAGCTTCCCTGTCCACCTGAGGCCATGCAGGAGCCATGTTCCTGAAAGTCTCACCTGGAGACTATTTAACTTTGACAGCAGCACCTGACACACCAGGTGACATCCGGTCTGTGAACTCCCCAGGGGTGGCGTGCTGTTTGATGGGCACTAGCACATCACCTCGCACAGATAAGATGCCGGGAAACGCCTGCGGGGAGGCGGGGCTGGCGGATGACCTGGCTGGCCCTGTGCATGTTTCCTACCTGTCTCCCAGGGTTGAAGGAGCAAAGAAATGCTGCCCAGAGCACCTCGCCACCCTGCCTGCAGATCGCCATGTTCTTTCTTTTCTTGACCACATCATTTTTTATTTTATTTTATGTCATTCCTCACTTTTATGCCCACTTCCCCTCAAACACCAGGCCACGAGCCCTATAATAATTCACTTCCAAGGGCCCTTCCTGCCCTCTCTTGATCTGTTGGCAGTGCGAAGAAAACTGGCCTTGGGAGTCCTGGCTCTGCCAGCCAAGCTGTGTGACCTTGTCTGAGCCTGTTTCCTCATTTGCAAAATATAACCTTTCACAAACCTTAGATCAACATATTAACCTAAGAAGGTATCACCATTATTGTTGCTGTTATGTTAAATAATGATCTGCTAGACTGGAGAGGCAAAGGTCAGGAGGGCAGAAATCCATTGATTCCATAAATACATTTTGAACATTTACTAAGCCAGGCACGGCTCCAGGCACAAAAATACCCTAGGGAACAAACCAAAGTCCCTGTCCTCATGTGCCTGAGCCTGCAGTCCCAGGAGCGTTCAAGAAACCGACCAGAGCCACAGAGAGAAATAAAGCAGAGAGAGGGCTAGCACGTGACACAGGGCCTCTCCTTCTTCTACCCCTTTAATCCCAGCACCTGCTCGGCGGCGCGTGGGGTGGGGGTGAGTGGACGCTGCGGAGTCCTGCTCCAGGACAGGGCTGGAGGGAACTCGCTGTCTCAGGGCCCTCCTGCGCCCGCGGTTCTGTGGGCCCCGGGGTGACCTGTCTGCCCTCCACCCCCACCCTGCAGCCTCCGGACCCACCTTCATGCGGCTGTACACGGTGGAGACGGGCGTGACCCGGTGGTGCTGGTGGGAGCCCAGCAGGCCGCAGAGGCCGCAGATGAGCTCCCGGTCCTTCTCACAGAAGAGGCTGAGCGGGTTGCGGTGCTGCGCGCAGATCTTGGGCTCCGGGTCGCGCGGGAGTCCCAGGGCTTCGATCACCCGCGCCAGGGAGAGGTTCGGCGGGGAGCTGCTGCCGTCCACCTCCAGCCGGCACACAGGGCAGCGCAGCTCCGAGTCCAGGCGGCAGAGCAGGGACAGCAAGCAGCCTTTGCAGTAGGAGTGGCCGCACTGCAGCATGAGCGGCTCCTTGAAGACCTCCAGGCAGATGGGGCACTGAAGGCGGTCCTCCAGCTCCGTCATGCTCACCAGCCTCGCCATCCACCCTGTGGGCAGTCACACGGGGCCTCTCTGAGAGGGCTCCCTCCGCTCCCGCTGCCCACAATTCCCTGGAAAGGGCCTCTGGAAATTAGAGGTCTTATCAGACTCCGGTAGTGGATTCCAGTCCTGACCCTCGATAACCTTGGGCCTGTTTAAAACAAAGGGCTTAAATGGGGGGGGGGGGGGGCAGGGGAGGTTATTTGAGATATATGATTCTAACTTATTTAAACTCAGATTTGGAGGTAAACATGAAAGCATCATTTAGATGACATCATTTGCCTGAGCTAGAACTGGACGGCAAAATCAAGCAAAGGTCCTTCCCACCTCCCAGATAAGTGTTTACATTGGCGAGCAATGTTGGAATCCTAGTTAAAAACAGATTCTTGAGTCACCCCTTCCCACATCTCCAGTGAGACCCAGAAATCTGCATTTACATTAGACTCTCCCAGGTCATCCTAAAGTGCAGTTCTGTCTCAGAACAACATTGTTCCGGACAGTCTGGGACTTAGGAAAACTGTATCTCAATCTCTCACCCTGTTCCTCTTTGAAAACTGATTGGCTCTGAACGAGAGAAGCACCGAGCTACAAGTCAGCAGCAGAGCCAAGAAGAGGACTCCCCTCCCCTCCCTATTCGCCCCCCCACCCCCGCACCCCCTCCAGCCTTGAAACTACCTGGCTTCTTAGAATCCACTGAGCCTCCCACCAGGGCCTCAGACCAGCATCACTGACCTGATGGGCTTGGCCTCTTCTCCCCAGGAGCAGAGACCTGAAGATTGCAGCTGGAAGCTTGCTCCACCACCTTGTCACTACCCTTTCCTCCTCCCCTTTCCCAGCAACACCCCCATGTCCTCAAGGTCACCCAGAATCAGGTGGAAATTGGGTTGCATCACGGGATGGGGGAGGCAGCCTGATAACTGTAACGTTCAGGTGCTTGCTTTGGCCAGGCAAGGGGAAGGGGTGCAGACAGAGAGACTGGGTACCCATTCACACCTCACAGACCCCAACGGGGCAGATTTGTGCTTCAACACAATCTTTCTGAATCTCTCTCATTAAAAATATTTTTATTTACTTAGTTAGATGTTTTAATTGGGGTATAGCTTCTACAATTGCTCAAATCTTAACCACACACTTAAAGTAAACTTAATATATAATCACTCTCAAGATCAAGATACAGACATTTCCAGTACCTCCTCGTGCTGCCCCCTAGTCAGAACGTCTAACAAGAATAGCTGCTCACATGACTGATATCATTGCAGATTAATGTGGCCCAGTTTTGAATTTCAAATGAACAGAATCATATAGTATGTGCTCTTTCGTGTCTAACTTCTTTATTCAGTATGCATTAACAACTTTTATATGTAGTCTTTCAAAGGTTTAGAAGTTCAGTGACATTTTGTTATGTAGTTAATAATATACTATGTATGCTGGATATGTGATATACAGGTCATAGGACACTATACATACCCCATAGGACACTACACATTCCCACCAGGGGTGTGGTGGGAAATTACTGATGGGAAAGGGTAGGATGGAGAGGTTTCCGGAGTGTTAAGAAACAGGAGCTCTAGAGCTTCTGGTGGCAGAGTCTGGGGAAGCAGCAGCAGGTGCCATGTCTTGCCTCAAAGGTGGCAAGAAGAAGCCCCTACAGCAGCTGAAGAAGCAGGCCAAGGAGATGGATGAGGAGGGTAAGGCATTCAAGCAAAAGCAAAAAGAGGAGCAGAAGAAACTCAGGGAACTAAAAGCAAAAGCTGTGGGCAGGGGTCTCCTGGTCACAGGTGGAATGAACAAATATAGCAAATAGTGAGTTGTTCTGTGTGCCTGGGGCAATGGTGATCCTTAATTCCATTTCTGCTTTAACTTCTGGATTCCCTGTCATACCATCTGTTGCCATCTAGAGCTAGAATGAAGTGTTGTCTTGGAGCCTATGGTATATTTAAGAATTAACTTTTGTAAATAATAATCTACACTAATAGCCGGGACCGGTTTGGCTCAATGGATAGAGCCACGGCTTGGGGACTGAAGGGTCCCGGGTTCGATTCCGGTCAAGGGCATGTACCTTGGTTGCGGGCATATCCCCAGTAGGGGGTGTGCAGGAGGCAGCTGATCGATGACTCTCATCGATGTTTCTAACTCTCTATCTCTCTCCCTTCTTCTCTGTATAAAATCAATAAAAAATGTATTTAAAAAATAATAATAATCTACACGAATAAAAGAGAAACATGCAAATTGACCATCCCTCCGCTATGCCCACTGGCCAATCAGAAACAAGTATGCAAATTAACCCAACAAATACGGCAGCTGACGTGGAGTTGAAGCAAGCAGGAGGCTTGGGTTGCCCCAGGCAATGGAGAAAGTTAAGCTTCCCGCCTGCCCTGATTTCCACTCAAGGAGGGGCTAGGGGACTGGGTTGCCAGGGGGTGTGGCCAGCCTGAAAACAGCCCTCAGCCCTTTACCCAGGCTGGCCACACCCCACAAAAGGGACCCTCACCCCATGGGGGTGTGTCCAGCCTGCAAACCATCACAGGCCTCTTGTCCAGGCTGCCCCACACCCCAAGGAAGCCACCACCCTGATCTGGGACACCCTTCAGGGAAAACCAGTTGGCCCAGGAGACCTTCTGGGTGTTCTTCTGGACAAAGCCATGGTGGCAGGGCCGAGGTAGAGGTGTTTAGAGGGCAAGAGGGAAGGGCAGTTGTGGGTGATCAGGCCAGGATGGGACAGCAGTTCTGGGTGATCAGGCCAGTGGGGGAGGCCATTGGGGGTGATCAGGCCAGCAAGGGGGGGCAGTTGGGAGTAAGCAGGCCAGCAGGGGGGTAGTTGGGGACAAGCAGGCCAGTGAGGAGGGCAGGTAGGGGTGGCAGGCCAGCAGGGGGGCACAATTGGGGGCGATCAGGCTAGTGGGGAGGCATTTGGGGGCAAGCAGGCTGGCAGGCAGAGTGGTTAAGAGCAATCAAGCAGGAAGGCAGATGAGCGGTTAGAAGCCAGCAGTCCCAGATTACGAGAGGGATATCTGACTGCTGGTTTAGGCCTGATCCCTGTAAACTGGCAGTAGGACATCCTTCGAGGGATCCCAGATTGGAGAGGATGCAGGCTGGGCTGAGGGACACCCCTCCCCCCGCACGAATTTTATGCACTGGGCCACTAGTAATAATAATCATTATCATGCAATGACACATCGCTTTAGTTCTTTTCAATCAATCATTTCAACTTAGCTGTGAGGTCAGAGTAAGCCCAGAATCTTGCTAAAGTGTGTTCTTTGGTCTTTGTATTATCCAAAATTCAGTACCACCTGGCATTAAACCAACTCATTGGAAGAGAGAGAGGAAGGGAAGGAGGGAGAGAGGAAGGGAGGGGGGGAGGAAGAGAGAGAAAGAAATCTAGAACAGGAGCTCTATAAAGGAAGAAAGAGAGAGAGAGAGAGAGAGAGAGAGAGAGAGAGAGAGAGAGAGAGAGAGAGAAAGAAAGAAAGAAAGAAAGAAAGAAAGAAAGAAAGAAAGAAAGGAAGGAAGAAAGAAAGAGCGAGCTCTAGAACATCAGGCCACAACTCCCACAGTCCTAAGCACCCATGTCTGCCAGCAGGGGTGATCTCCACCCCAGTGTCAAGCGAGACTAAGGTCTGGTATAGGCAAATAGCAAGCTAATTTTATTTGTTAATTCAAGAAATAATTATTGAGAACCTGCTATGCATCAAGCACTGAGCTGGGTATGAGGCATACATTAAAGAACAAGACAGACAAGGTTTCTGTCCTTTTGGAGTTTATGATGCATGGAGGTAGGAGTGGTGTAAGGTCATAAATAAACAAGTTAATATAATAGATTTAAATGCTATGCAGGAAGTAAACACTGTGGTGGAAAGTAGGATGGGGTGACAGGATGAGGTGCACTTGAGCAAGGGGCAGGGCAATGTCTTTGCCGAGGCCAGAAGGATACACAGAAGCCGGCCACCTGAAAGGATTCAGGAGGGTAGACCAGGCACTGGGTCTGCAAGTGCCAAGGCCCTGAGGCTGGAAAGCACGTAGAGAGGAGACGTGTGCAGCTGGGGCACAGGAAAAGAGAGGAAATATCAGAAGGTGAGGCCAGAGAGGTTGGCAAGGAGGGCTGTGTAGACTAGGGCCAAGGTCTGGATTTCATTTCAAGGGCAGTGGGAGCTGTTGAAGAAACCGGTTTTAAGGCAAGGGAATATCATCTCATTTATATTATTAAAATATCATTCTGGCTGCGGCATACATAATGGATCACAGTAGTGTGAGCACTAGGTGGGATGGATGATGAAGCTGAATGACTGATACAGAGAAGAAGGATGTAAACAAAGCACAAGGGGGATCCAGAGTCAGAAGCCTGAGGACATCCAGGTGGAGGAACTGAGTAGCCCACCTGGTCCGCAGACAAATGTCCAGGCCTGGCTGCAGAGTTTCTGACTCAGGAGTCCATGGAGGGACCCATAAGAAATTAGCATTTGTAGCAAGCACTGATGCTACTTTTGAGAACCATTAGAAAAGGCAGTTGGACACAGGCGCCTGGAACACTGGCACTTGGGAGGCTCTAAGCTAGCCAGGTATGTGCCGCCTGTTTTATAGCACATATTTAAACAAATGGCTGGGATCTCTTAGGGACTGAAAGCAGAGAAGGGCAGGGATCCTAGGACGGCCCTGAGGTTGCTGACCTTTTGAGGTCAGGAAGGGGAGGATGGCTAGGAAGGTAAGAGGAACATCAAGGGAGTGTGGTGATTAGGAAACTGTGGGAGCTAGAATGCCCCCACCCAGAGATATCCGTGCCCAAATTCCTGGACCTCGGTGAACATGTTACCTTAAAAGGCCAAAGGGACTTTGAAGATGGAATCACGGTCATAAACCTGAATTATGCAGGTGGGTCCAATTTAATCACGTAACCCCTTACCAGCAGAGAACTTTCTCTGCTGGAGTCACAGAGAGATGCCATAGATTTAGAAGAAGAAGCAAGAGGATAGCAAACATAAGCACTTGGCACCCTGTTGCTGCCTCTGCGACGGGGCCCGTAGGCAAGAATAGGAGAGGAGCCTCTAAGAGTCAAGGGTGCCTCCTGGCTGGAAGCCAGGTCGGACATGGGGACCTCAGGCGTAGAGCTTCAAGGATCTCGATTTGCCAACAACCTAAATGAGCTTTGAAGTGGATTCTTCCCCAAAAGCTCTGTCGGGCTGATGCCTTGATTTGAACCCAATGAGACTGCTGTCAAGTCTCTAGCCTACGAAAATGAGAAAGAATAAACAGGTGTTGCTTTAAACAGCTAGGTTTGTGGCACTCTGTTTGTTACAGCGAACTGGAATAAATCAAACAATGCTCAGAGAGTTTGGAGTCACACTTTATGCATCGGTGGGCTCAGAGAAAATGAATTCAAATTCCAAGCAAGGCTACAAGCAGAACTTCCCATTTTATTAAAGAGCCAGCCCTATGTGCACTTTGTGGTTATCTCGCTGCTGGCCTTGAAAACAAGAAATACTTTTTGCACAGTTCTAGCCAATTAAAAATGCACCTGGCATGGCATTGAGAGTATGGACAGATCTAGTCTCTGGCCTATAAGATCAGACAGGTAAGTTTATCTTTCTTGTTATTCAAGCAGGCTAGAAAGCAAAGTTATTTATTATTATTATTATTATTATTATTATTATTAAATTTTTTTTTGGAATAAGAGGCCATCTAAAAAAACAGCAGAGAATTCCAAACAGTAGTTTTACAAAATAGAGGTTAGCCTTCTCATGTTATGACAATGATGGGAAATGAATATTAATGCCAAAAGGAAAGTGTTCAAAGGTGAGAGATACCAACTTCACCAAATGCTGACAAGAGGTGCCTGATGGGTTTGGCGGCAAGAGCAGACTTTTGTCCACGGAGCAAGGAAAAGTGGTTACATGAAGTGGGTTGAACAGAAAATGAAGGGTGAGGAGGGAGAGAAAAGCCTTTGCAGCAACTCTTTTGAGAAGGTTCATGGGAAGAGCCGCCAGAGGGCGCTGTGGGACCAAAGGAGGCCTGTTCCTTTTAACTTAGATTTTCCTACACATCAGAAGGAAATGATCCCATATTCGAGGCAAGATGGATGCAGGAGAGAGAGGGTAACTAACGTGCATGAGCAGACAGGAGCGGGAGGATCCAGCGGGGACCTAGGACTAGTCTCCCTTTGCGCCAGGAAAGCGCTAGTGCAGCACAGATTTTGTAGATTTGCTGATAGAAAGTGAGGGGCATCAGGAGCTGGGCACTTTGACTCTAAAGACCTTGATCTGGCCTGAATTTCGGGGGGGGGGGGGGGATGAGAAGGAAGGAAGGTGGAAATAACCCACTGCAAGTAGTCGGTTTCTGGGGCCTTGTGCTCACTAGGGTGCTCTGGCCACGTGACCTCATCGAGTGCCCCTCTCCCATCACATCCGCCACGTGCCGCACCACGTGCTGCCCCCCCCCACCCCGTCACGAGCCTGGCCACGCCCTCCCTGGCCCCAGAGCCGGGGCCGTTGGCTGCAGTTGGTGTGACTCCCTGAAAGGGATGCCCGGGCCGGGGGCAGGCTGCAGGGCATAAAGGGCGGCTGGGCGCAGCCTTCGGGAGGGAGTTTCCGGGAGTTTCCAGGAGTTTCCGGGAGTCTCGGGCGCGGGGCGGGCGCCTCGGGAGGGCCACGTGGCCATGGTGGGGGAGGTCCGGACCCCGGGAGCCATGCGAGGGGAGGACGCCCCCGGCCAGGTGAGGACCCCGCACGGGCGAGTCGGGTGGGGCACCGGCGTCAGGGCCAGTGTGGGGCTCTGAAGTCTGTGTTCCTTTCCCCAAAGTCTCCTTACCAGAGGCTCGGCCAGTGGATGCAGGACATCTCCGGGGACCAGGGCGTGCTCAAGGACGTGATCCGCGAGGGCGCCGGCGAGCTGGTGGTGCCCGATGCCTCGGTGCTCGGTAGGCCGCCCTCGGGCCCCTGTCTGTCCTGGGGCAGCTGGCGGAGCCAGGGGACCGGCGGCCCCGGGGCGCTTTGCTCTGCGGGGAGGAGAGGCACTTGGATGGGGTAGAACATGCTTTGTTAGAATTGGGTTGTGTTTGTTTTTTTTTAAATATTTTATTGATTCTTTACAGAGAGGAAGAGAGAGGGATAGAGAGTTAGAAACATCGATGAGAGAGAATCATCCATCAGCTGCCTCTTGCACACTCCCCACCGGGGATGTGCCCACAACCAATGTACATGCCCTTGACAGGAATCGAAACCGGGACCTTTAAGTCCGCAGGCCACGCTCCATCCACTGAGCCAAACCGGTTTCAGCTAGAATTGGGGTTTTTAATAAGGCGACCAGACGGTCCCGCTTTGGACAGTCACGATTGGGACTTTTTATTTATTTTATTTTTATTTTTAAAAAATATATATTTTATTGATTTTTGTACAGAGAGGAAGGGAGAGAGAGAGAGAGCTAGAAACATCGATGAGAGAGAGTCATGGATCAGCTGCCTCTTGCACACCCCCTACCGGGGATATGCCCGCAACCAAGGTACATGCCCTTGACCGGAAGCGAACCCGGGTCCCTTCAGTCCCCAAGCCAACGCTCTATCCATTGAGCCAAACCGGTTTCGGCCCGATCAGGACTTTTTTAAAACGCCGCGGGATGCGGACAAATTGTTCAAAATTGGGATGCCTGGTCACCTTAGTTTTTAAGGGAAAGCCAGGGAACCCCGTGTCCCTTTGCATGGCACCTCTGTGAACTTGGGACCTCTGTGAACTTCGAGGCCCACCGGCCACGTTTCTGAACCTCAAAGCCCAGGGGCGGCCATCCAAATGGTTAAGCAAACGTTTGTTCCCAGCAGGGTGCAGGCCAGTGGGAGGGCATCTAATTCTGTTGCTTTTGTGTGATAATTAGAGAGACTGATGTTACAGAGGGGAGGGTACTGGTCCATGTGTCTGTCTGTGCCCTCTGTCCCAGTGAAATATTCCGGGTACCTGGAGCACATGGACAAGCCTTTTGATTCGAATTGCTTCAGGAAAACGCCCCGACTCATGAAGCTTGGAGTGGGTAAGTTCACATTAGGAGCTGGAAACGAAGGCTTTTTTTTCGGGGGACAAGCACTAGGCCTGGAAAACCGTCCAGGGCACAGACAGTTCTTGGCCTCAGTTTTTTGAGGCTGGGTTTTGCTAAACCAGCCAGCTCTCTCCTACGTTTCCCCTGGAGACCTAAATGGTAGGGAAATGGCCTACCTGGCAAGGATACCTTCGCATCCTGACTTAACCACTGGGCATTGTGTTTTTGTTTGTTTAAATAAACATCTGCTGAATGCTTTCTACCCACAATGCATGCTGAAAGGAGAGGGTGTGCCCAGGTGACTAGAACGTGGAAGCCGGTGTGGGGGTGGATTGACTGGTTTCAGACAACTAACCTGGTAGAATGGTTAAAGCTCCTGGGAGGTGTAAGCCCAGCTGCAGGAGTCCTTACTGAAGGCATCCTTAGCTCCCGCTGGGAGCGTCCGGGAAGGTGTCTTGGAAGAGGCAGCATCTGAAATGAGCCCTGACGCTTGAATAAGATTTCTGTCAGGGCAGATGCTGGGCATGGGGAGGAAGACGTTGCCAGAAGACAGAAGTGTGTGAACAAAGATGTGCAGGCCAGAATGCGGCGGAGCCTGAAGAAGTTAGAGTTGGAAGGGTGGTGGTGGTGGGAAATAAGGCTGAAAAGTGAGTTGGGGCCGCAGTACAGAAGGCTTGGAAGATGGTATGGAGAGATTTGGGCCTAAGGAGGAAAGAGATTGACAGTACGGGAACAGGATACTGGGAAGATTTCAACCACATTCTTTGTCCCTTCCTCCAGATATTACCCTGTATGGCATGGAGCTGGGCCTTCTGAGCATGCGGAGGGGAGAACTGGCCAGGTTTCTATTCAAGCCGCCCTATGCCTACGGAACACTGGGCTGCCCACCCTTGATCCCCCCCAACTCCACCGTCTTATTTGAGATTGAGCTAATCGACTTCCTGGATTCTGCTGAATCGGACAAGTTTTGTGCCCTGACCGCTGTAAGTTCTGGGGTACAAATGTCAGCGCTTCACAGAGAGAGGGTTGGGTTTGTGTTTTCAGTAATTATAATGCCATGCTGATGCTCCTCTGGCCCGGGTTCCACCCCTGAAACTCCTGGGTGGTGGTGGTGGGGTTCCCCCACTTCCTAGTCCTGTCCATATTACTGGTTCTTAGGTGTAGTCACTGTGCTAGGCCAAGGTCAGGCTGTGGGTTAGTTATGGGCCAGCAGTTTGAGTTGATCTTTCAGTCTGTCACCTTTGCCTACTTCTCTCTGCAAGATAGTGGAATTTGCCTCTCAACATTAATGTTGGTTTTCAGCAAGTCAAGCCTTGGTAGTTCATAAGTAGCGTGACCACCGAATTTGTTGTCCAAGCCAGGACACTTGAGAGTGAAATGGGCTATTGACTGGATATATCTGATACAAGGACATCAGGTGTGAATGGGTTAATCCCAGGAAACGTGGGGCATGCGGCCTCTGTTCTCATCATTTAAGTGTTGCCATTTCTTTGTTGCCTTTACTTAACCCTTCCTATAAAGGTAGGGCTTCAAATCTCCTTAATAGTCAGATACACATTGTCATTCTATCTCACACTGACTATATATGTGCTCTTAAGATGTCCACCCTAGATTTACATCTGTATTTGATGTCTCCTCAGCTAAACTGTCAGCACCCTTTTTTCATCTTTACACAAAACAGGTTCTTGCAGATGCCTGGGTTGGGGGGACAAGACACCTGCGTTTGAAAAGAGGTGCTGTGGTGACTTTGATATGAACCCAAGGTGGTGCATTGTGGCTATAAAGACCAGTACGGCCCTGGGCAGACCAAGACCTGTTAAATTTTGATTGATAAATAGTTCTGATTTCTGTGCTTGACAAGTTCCATCAGTTTCTAATTCCATGAAGGTTGCTTTAGGGAATATCTCTGGGAGGACTATAGAAGATCTCCTTTTGGCTCTAGCTGTAAAGTGGGGGCCGTGATAACACCGACCTGCTGTGGCTTCTATTGGAATTCACGCAGATGATCTGCAGAGGCACCTCGCCCCATGCTTGGCACACATACAGCAATAAACAGGTGTAATTATGGCATCGTAGCTTTCAGTGTCCTTATTTTTGGTTCTCAGGAACAACAAGATCAGTTTCCACTTCAGAAAGTCCTAAAAGTGGCAGCTACTGAACGGGAGTTTGGCAACTACCTTTTCCGCCAAAATCGTTTCTATGATGCCAAAGTGAGATATAAACGGGTAAGAATGCTTAAGAAGTGAAATTTTTCTTGTTTAAAAGACATAGACATTGTCTCTTTAAGAAATATCTCATTAAACCTTCTCATACTAGATAGCTGGGAGAGAGGACAAGGTATTTGGGAAAGCCTGGTGTTCTGTGTCTGCTGCTAGATACTGACTACGTGCCCTTGACTGAAATTCAAGCCATGACCCTTCTGTCTAAAGGCACTGAGCCAAACCAGCTAGGGCTGGAATTATTTTCTTAATTTCATTTTTGGATTGTTTATTGTTAGAATACAGAAATATAACTAACATATATTGATCTTGTATCCTGAAATTTTGCTGAACTAAATTTTTAGCTCAAAGGGTTTTTTTGTGTGGATTCATAGCATTTTCTCTATATAAGATTGTCACTCCTCTTACAACCTGTCTTTCCTCTCCACAGGCTTTGTTGCTTCTCTGCCAGCGATCAGCACCCCCTGAAGAACAGCACCTGGTGGAAGCCGCCAAGCTTCTTGTTCTCCTTAACCTCTCCTTTACATACCTGAAGCTGGAGCATCCCAGCAGGGCCCTGCACTATGGAGAGCAGGCTCTGATTATTGACCAGAAGAATGCCAAAGCCCTCTTCCGGTGTGGACAGGTGAGTTGGAGGACAAGCTCTTGAGAACAAATGCCTAAGCAAAGGTGGCAATGGTGTTCAACTTGGGCCCTGCAAGAAATGCTCTTTGCTAACTGTGCTTTTAAATTCTGTCATTTACAGGCCTGTCTCCTCATGACTGAGTACCAGAAGGCTCGAGATTTTCTAGTCCGAGCCCAAAAGGAACAGCCCTTTAATCATGACATCAATAATGAGCTGAAGAAACTGGCCAGGTGAGACCTGTGTTTGCACTCCCGCTAACAGAGAAAGAGAGGTATGATGCCTTAACAGTTCTGATCTCTCCACCTGGGGATGTTGCCCGGTAGGTGTTATGAGACAGCGCCCCCTAGAGCTAGTGTTTGAAGTGCTCAATACTCTAAACCAGCAGCTCCTAGTGGGGAAGTGGGACCAACTCCAAACTACACCTGTCTGGATCATTATCCATCTCCCTGTTTCACACCTTACCCTGCAAATAAGCACCTCTAAAGGGGAGGGCTAATGTGATTTTTAAAAGGGACTTGTTCTTCAGGTACTCTTCCTGTTTGGCACCAACTGTTCTCAACTGACTTCAGAAAGGTGCCTTATTGACCCTGGTTTGATCTGAAATTGATCTTTCAGGTCTGATTCATACCCAGAGTTACTTTTTTGTTATCTAAGTAATATATATCAATCTTTCAGTAATATAACTATTTATTTTTTTGTTTATTTTAATCCTCATCTGGGGGTATGTTTTTATTGATTTTTAGAGAGAGAGGAGTGGGAGGGAGAGAGCAAAACATTGATGTGAGAAAGAAACATCAATCAGTTGGTTGCTTTCTGTACAAGCCCTGAATAGGGATCGAACCTGCAATCTTTTGGTGCATGGGATGATGCTCCAAGCACAGCCCCCTAGCTAGGGCCAGTAATGTAACTTTTTATGATTATAGAAATTTCATGTTCATTGTAGAAGATTTTGAAAATAACATAAATTGATATTCTATCACTTCATAATATATACACCATTTGTTTTTTCATATATTTTTATAGATTTCAGAGAGGAAGGGGAAACGGGGAGAGAGCAACGATGAGAAAGAATCATTGATCAGCTGCCTCCTGCATGTCCCCTACTGAGCATGTGCCTACAACCCAGGCATTACCCTGACGGGGAATAGAACTGTGACCTCCGGGTTCATAGGTCAATGCTCAACCACTAAACCACGCTGGCCAGGCTACATCCACCGTTTTTTTAAGATGGCTTGTTTTTCAGAATTGGTGAATTTATCTACTGTTAACATTAAACATTTAATCCAAATTACTTAGTTAAAGTTTTCTTGACATTAAAAAAAAAAGCTGATGTATGTGTACCTCTTTATATTTGGGTCCAGTTGTATTTTGGGCCTTTTAGAACTTTCCAACAATTTCCTTTCTGCTATTTATAAGTATCCTATCAGGGTAAATGCAGAAATTTTGGAATCTAACCATTCTTTAGCAAAATAAAATAAAATAAAATAAAATAAATCTCAGGGTAAGTTAGTGGTTACTGAGTGTGAGATGTCACTGGCAGCTTCATTGACAGTGGCTCCTAGCCTTCAAGGCTGCCATCTTTTCAGAAATGGGCTTTTTGTCAAAAGGCTTCCTTATCAGCTCTTGGGAGCCTCCGCTGTGTCACCTACTTCTCCAGTATTGCTTCCACCCCTCCTGGTTGTGTTTAAAGCCCATTGAATTTCCAGTGCTTTGAAGCTGATGGAGAATTCCAGCCACCAGATGTCACCTCCTACACAGACAGGCCTTCTCTAACTACTGTGTCTTTCACTTCACAGCCACTACAGGGACTACACAGAGAAAGAGAAAGAAATGTGCCATCGAATGTTTGCTCCTTGTGATAATGGCTCTGCAGTAGGAGAAAAGTAAAGGTAATAAAAGGACTAAAGTATAAGAGGATTTTGTCCAGTAAATATAAAAATGTGGTTCTCATCAACCCACCAGTGGATATTGGCTATCTACAGTTCCCGTGAATGGGAGTAGCAAAATTCCTATTGAAGATAGTGATATAAGTCTAGTACAGAAGGCACACACTGTGGGTCTTCTCATAGAGAAGTTTGGAAAGTCCGTCCAGAGCTTGTGGATAAATGCATAGGCTTGTGAAGCCTTAGGCTTTAAAATGAAAACAATTTTTCATATTTTATGTTAATCTCTCCCTCACAGAAGCTTAGAACATGAAATGTAATAGTCATTAATGTGATGATTTATCTGAGTTTTTAAATGAACAGTAATACTTTTCTTATCTGGTTTTTCCTGAAGTCCTCCAACTTCACTTTACATCTAATACATCATTAAAAAATACTACATACAAATGTCAAGGGGTAGGAATGAGCAGTGACTCTGAAGTTTTGCTTGCTGTTAAAATTAGAGATTTGAGGATTTCAGAACCAACAGGGAGCAGAAGCTCACATTTCTGCCACAGCATATACCTTGTGATTTAGCAGGCACAGGGTTAAGGTTTCCCATGAGTACATGAGATAACCTTCTAGTCTGGTTTACTATTACTTAAGAAAATTAATGGAAACAAAATCACCTGCCTTAAACACCTGCTTAGCTGGGTAGATAACTCTGCTCTCTCTGGAGAGAGAGAAGTTAAACAAGGGACAACAAGAAAACAGCTGCCCAACGGGCTCTTGGTGATAAATCTCTCCTTTGTTGCTACCTCCATCCCTCTACAAAAGAGGCTTGAGAGAAGAAGGCAGTGAAAAGGCCTATTCATCCCAGACTTTTTCACAGGTGATCTACAAACTGCTGCTGTCCGCCCTGTCAGAAACAATCTATCAGTATCAGAAATAAATGTTGCCTTCCTCACTGACCCTGACCCTGTGACCCTGGCCTTCAGGTCTTTCAGGGACATTGGAGTATTTGAACGGAGCTGCGAGCCAGAGGATTTCTCTCATTTGGCTGCTGTTAATGTCCAGTACAAATGGAGGTGGGGTGGCTTTTTGCAAGACATTTTAGACTGTGACCTGGTATATCCTGCCATTTAATGAATATCCACTTCTTTCAGAGTCCATCCTAGAAACAGATCTTAGAATACCCAGCAGAGCGGCAAGTTCCCTTTCCATCATCTTTCCCTCTCAGTTTTCTCAGTCTGTCAGATTTTTTGAGCCTACTGATTTTTAGATGATATCCCATGCATTTCTAAATCTTGAGTGTTTTATCACCAGCGGTGACTGGGGTCGAAAGTGGTTGATTGTCATATTCCTGTGCTGTTGTAGTTGTAACATATTGTGGCTTTCGTGTCATTGGTATTCTTCCTACTCCACCTTTTTACTCTGTTGTACTTGTGCTGAGTTAGTCACTTAAAATGTCTAGGTCTTGCCGAAGCCGGTTTGGCTCAGTGGTAGAGTGTCAGTCTGTGGACTGAAAGGTCCCAGGTTCGATTCCGGTCAGGGGCATGTACATTGGTTGCGGGCACATCCCTGGTAGGGGGTGTGCAAGAGGCACCTGGCCGATGTTTCTCTCTCATCAACGTTTCTAGCTCTCTATCTCTCTCCCTTTCTCACTATAAAAAATCAATAAAATATATTTTAAGCCGAAGCCAGTTTGGCTCAATGGTAGAGAGTCGGTCTGCGGACTGAAAGGTCCCAGGTTTGATTCCAGTCAAGGGCATGTACATTAGTTGCGGGCACATCCCCGGTAGGGGGTGTGCAAGAGGCAGCTGGTTGATGTTTCTCTCTCATCGATGTTTCTAGCTCTCTATCTCTCTCCCTTCCTCTCTGTAAAAAAATCAATAAAATATATTAAAATATATATACATATATTTAAAAAATGTCTAGATCTTTTGAAAATACAACTTTAACTGAGTAGGAGCATTTAAAATTTGTTCATCTCAGATGTTAGGCATTCTAGACTTGTCTTCATCTCGTCTCCTAATACATTAGACCGTTACCTTGGTGGGGTGAGTGTTCTAAGCCTCTGACTGTAATAAACTGAATTTGTTTTTAGATCAAAGGCCATGTCTTTTTTATCTTTGTATTTTCTAGTACCTGGAACTATGCCTGGCACATGATTAACACTCAGTAAATGTTGGTTGGATCAAGTGTAAAATAGCGGAAATGCTAGACCAGTCTCTTTGAAACCATACCCTCCAGGCTGGCTCTTGTATTGGCTGTCAGGACTGTTGTTTAGTACCAGTGACAGAAATCCATCTTTATCTAGCATCAGCTAAAAAAGAGAATTACAGAAGGAAACGTAGGAAGCTCACTGATTCAAAGAGGAGTTGGACAACCAATACTCAAGCAGGTACCTGCAGTTCTGAGGGCCTCGGGGTCCCGATCTCATTGCTGCTTTATTCTTTTCCAATATATGGGGTGCCCAGACATCCGTTTGCACAGTCTTTGTATTTGAGAGAGGGCTTTCCTTATCCCACACCTGCCTCCTCTTCCTATACCAACCATAGCTCCAGTTTGAAAATCTTAAGACATGACTCTGGCCTGGTTTTGGGTGTGTGGAGTCCCATGAGTGGCTCCCCATCCTAGCACCACAGATTCGGGGAGCAATGGTTGTTCGAAGAAGGTTGCTGCTCCCCAAAAGCAAGGGGATGAAGACAATGGGCAAAGGGGAAGGGGTCCATCAAAGGGTATTTAATTGTAGCAGCCACTTATTGTTCTGCTGAGTTGTGTCCTTTAGTCTTGCTGTTACAGAGCAGTGGGTCATTTGCCAATTTGGTGAATTAGGAATCTCTTGCAGCTCCTTTTGCTAAGAGTCCAACAGTGGAAAGATCAAATACATCCATAGTTCTGCCATAACATCTTTTTCCTTAGTTTGGATTTTCAGAGAGAATGGAAAAACACAGACTTCTATATGGAAATATTCCTAGGGATAATCTAAAAAGTCAATATGGCAGTCAATGTGTTCACTCATGTACACCAGAAGACCTAAAATTTCATAGGAAACCCCGTAGCTAATATTTGATAAGCTGCTTTGAAACTGCTTTCCCGGTGGTTTGCAATGCAGTATTCCTGTTTATATATTGTACATTCAAACTTTCATAAATGGCATTTTCTAACTACCTACTTGGTTAAGATCTCACATATATCCATCCATAGTAGTGATTTTACCAGGGGCATCAAAGAGCTTTTGTAACAGATGCTGTCATACCAGGGGCATCAAAGAGCTTTTGTAACAGATGCTGTCATAGTTGGAAACATTTGGAATAGTGTTTTAACTTTTTTCTTTTTTAAATTTAATTTTATTGTTGACAGTATTACAGATGTCCTCCTATTACCTCTCCCCCCTACTTAAACCCTTCCTCCCATCATCCTGAATGAGTGAAGAGGAGGGTCCCACTGCACGACCTCATTACTCCTTCCCCAAGTGCCTCTTGAGAACTGGTGGTTTCCATGTGCTCTGGCAGGTGCTGTGTGGCACTGCCAGTCGGCAGGGATAGTGCTCTCTTAGGGAGGACAGGACCAATCAGTTGGATCACAGAGTAACAACAGAGGGCTATAATGGGCAGCATCCTGACCAGATAAAAGCCTTGCTGAGGAAGTCCTGAAGCTTCAAAGGGTAGCACTGGACACAAGGAGGGAGTGGGGGGGGGGGGGGGTGGGGAGGTAAATGAACAGACAAGGAATCCAGTGCTGAAGTCAGTTGTGGACCAGGTATTGTCTTGGAATTTCAGTCTTTTTTTTTTTTTTTTTTTTTTTTTTTTTTTTTTGATTGTGGACTGTGTTCTGTAGGCATCAGAGGAGGGAAAAGATGTGATTGAAGCTGAGATGATCTGATAGGCTCATGTAAGCGGCTGAAGGGCCATGTTGGAAGCATCAAGTCTGGCAGGTAGAAGATGTTTGAGGGGTGATGACAGCCTAGAAGTAAAGCACCAGCAGAAATGGAAAGAAGGCAGGAGTATGAGGTCTCCCATCTGGAATGGATGGGAGGGTGCTTTCAGTCAAAATAATTCTAGTAGCAAATGAGAACTTAGTTGATAAAGAATGACCATAGAGGGTGTACAAGGTGACCTGTGGGCAAAGGTGGAAGGAACTGAAGCTATATATTCTGGAGAAGAGAAGCTTTAAGTGGTGTGTGTTAGCTGATGGAGAGAAGTGGCTTGGAGTGGAGAGTTTGCAGAATTAGGAGTTAGAGATGATCACAGTGAACTAGATGTGATAGAGAGATCTTCTGGAGGAGAAAGCAGAACTTGAGTGAGTTCACAAGACTAATTGGTAGGCTTGGCTGGACATAGGGAACTCACCCTCTTGGTTTGTCATATTTTATTTTAATAGCATTGCTCACCATTTATTCATTTTATTTTATTTTTTTAAATAAATTTTTATTGTTCATAATATTACAAATGTTCCTTTTCCCCCCTCCATTGCTCTCCTCCACCAGGTTCCCACCCCACCCTCTGCCCTTTCCCCACCCCCCATTGTCCTCATTCGTAGGTGCACAGTCTACAACCCTTTATCCCCTTTCCCCCAAGAATCGTCAGTTCACTCCCCTTCCATACCTCTGATTCTATTATATTCAACAGTTAATATTGTTCATCAGATTTTTTTTTTAAATTTCCTTGGTTTTTAGATTCACTTGTGGATAGTTACATATTTGTTGTTCATAATTTTTATCTTTATTTACTTTCTCTTCCGAAAGAACCCCCTTCAGCAATTCATATAATTCTGGTTTGGTGGTGATGAACTCCTTTAGCTTTTTTTTTATTAGTGAAGCTCTTTATCTGACCTTCGATTCTGAGTGATAGCTTTGCTGGGTAGATTATCTTTGGCTGTAGGTTCTTACTATTCATCATCTTGAGTATTTCTTGCCATTCCCTTCTGGCCTGCATGGTTTCTGTTGAGAAATCAGCTGACAATTGGATAGGTGCTCCTTTATAGGTAACTACCTGCTTTGCTCTTGCTGCTTTTAATATTCTTCTTTGTCTT